TTCATGGCAACCAACAACAATATTCCATTTTATGACTGCACCACCATTTTTTTTAACCAATACTGCTATAATGGACATTTGATTATTTCCAGTTTTGTCTATTACAAATAATAATGCTATGAATATTCTTCTGTATGTCTCTTGGTGTTCATACTACATGCATTTCTGTTGAGTATATGCCACGTTGGTGTAGTGGATAAGAGCTATGGCTGCTAACCAAAAGGCTGGCAGTTTGAATCCACCAGAAGCTCCTTGGAAACCCTATGGGGCAGTTCTACTTTGTCCTGTAGGGTTGCTATGAGTCAGAATTGACTCGACGGCAATGGGTTTATATGCCAAGTTGCAAAATTGATGGGTCATATGGTATCCCTTCATCTTTAGTGGATAATACCAAACCACAATCCAAAGTGTTTACACTTGCACCAGCAGTGTATGAGAAGTGTTTCATGGCTACATTCTGGAATCTCTCTTGACTGACATCCTACGATTTCCTTCACCTCTCTCTAGTGTTGGAACTCTTGTTCGTTAGTCCCATATTTTCTTCCTTTTTGGTTTAATTTCTCATTTTGTTAGAGGATAACCTTTAGTAACTTTCTGAAAAAAAAAAAAAAAAAAAGAGGGTCAATGGAAGGTAAAAGTTTTGAGCCATATATAGAGACAACCTTGTTGGTAGGTTGATGATATAGAATACCAGATTGGAGTTCAATTTTCCTTGAAATTTTGAGGCTGTTGCTCTTTTGTCTTCCAGCTTCTAGTCTTGAGGTTGAATAGTCTTACAATATTCTGATTCCTGGTCATATATATGTAATCTTTCATTTTTCCTCTTTGGAAGATTTTAAGATTTTGTCCTTGTCCCTGGTGTTTTGTAATTTCAATATGATGTACCTTGGTGTGTCTGTTCCTTCTAACCACTGTTTTAGGCACTGGGCAAGCCTTTTCAGTCTGGAAAAACATATCTTTCTCTTCTGGGAAGTTTTCTTCAATTATTTCTTTGATAATTCCCTCCCCTATATTTTTCGTTTTTTGAGACTATTATTGTATGGATTTTGGACCTCTTTGGTAGCTTTTCCAATCTTAACTTTTCTCTCTGATTATCCATTTCTTTGTCTTTTTGTTCTACTTTCTAGGACATTTCCTCAGTTTTTATATTGCATTTCTTATTTCTGATCTCCTATCTTTGAATACTACACATTCTCTTTTGAAAATTCTTTTAGGTTTCTTCTTGTTCATAGATATAATATACTTATTTCTCTGAGATTATTATTGATAGTATTTAAGTTTTCTTGTGATTTCTATACTGGTCTTGTCTCCTTAGATTTCTTTTCTTCTGTGTTTTCTTTCTTTTTTTTTTCTTTTGGAGACTGTCTTTAACGTAGGAGCCCTGGTGGTGTAGTGGCTAAGAGCTCAGCTGCTACCAAAAGGTCAACAATTTGAATTCACCAGGCACTCCTTGGAAAC